CCCCTGTATTGGCAGCTCCAAACTTCTCTCGCTAGAGGTCGATGCCAGTGCCACCGGAGCCGGGGCAGTCCTGCTGCAGGATGATGAGGAAGGTGTGTGCCATCCGGTCTGTTATTTCTCTGCAAAGTTCAAACCCCATCAACTGAACTACTCTACCATAGAGAAGGAAGCCTTAGCTCTGCTTCTAGCTCTGCAGCACTTTGAAGTGTATGTGGGCTCCAGCGCTTCCCCGGTGACCGTGTTCACAGACCACAACCCCCTTGTTTTTCTGAACCGGATGTACAATCACAACCAGCGACTGATGCGCTGGGCACTCCTGGCCCAGGATTACAATCTGATGATCATACACAAGAAAGGTACTGACAATATAGTGGCTGATGCACTCTCACGCAGCTCGCAATAGGTTGTTGTTGTTGTTGTTGTTGTTGTTTTGGTAGGGCTTCAATGTAAGGGGGGGGGGAATGTTACGTTCTGTGAGGCTGTGGGAGTGTGTGGGTGGGGTGTTTGCCGACTCTCCCCGCCTCCACCCCTCTTGCCACTCCTACACCTCTCTGTCTCTCTCACTCTCCTCTCTCCCCAGGACACAGCTGCTGCTGATTAGCCTCGTTTGCCACCTGACTCCAGTCAGCAATCATCCTCTGAGGCTATTTAAACTGAGGATGAGCTGTGAGCAGGGTGGCTTTTTTCCTCGGTGGCTCTACGCGTTTCGGTGCTAGATGTTGGACAGACAGCCTCTTTCTGACCAGTGAGCAGACGGGCTTGTGGGCCCTGAGAGTGTCTCCCCGTGGTGGGGAGTAGGGTAGGAAGTGTGGGAAGTGCCGCCTTTTTTTATTGTGTTTGTTTGGTAGTCTTCCTGCCTTTCGTGGCTGCGAGCGTTTTCTTTGTTTCTTTGGCGTTGTTGGTAAGACGGCGTTGCCGGCCCTTTAAGTTAATGTTAATGTCGTTTGTAATCCACCTGTACCATTTCGTAATAAAGTTCTATTAATACAGAACAACTCTGTCTGTTTTCCTTTTCATTCTGATTCCGGACTCATTTGTTACTGGTCCCCTCACTCATATGCCTAGACCCCTTCGGGGGGAACGTAACACCAGCATACATTTCTACATGGAGTACCCCTTCAAATGTTAGTCTTTTCTCAGTGTGGTCGAAAAGAACACTTGAAATCTATCGGATGTCCTTTTTAGATCCTAGATTTTATATCTAGCATAGAGAAGGTTGTATAAAAGAAATGTTTATATTATCCTTGCAGCAACATTTTTACAACATATAGTACAATATACAGTATAGACAAAATCACAGTAAAATCATTGTCTTATGAGTATGCTTATTTTTTCACACAGCATACATCCATCCATTTTCTTAGCCATTTCTCCTTTCATAGCGTGAAAGATGGGGTACAATCTCGTCACCCTGGTGGCCAGTCTATCTCAGCGCTAAGCCAGAGACCAAGTTCGCCTTTCAGGGAGATAGCCCATCCAGGCAAAAGGAGAACCTGCAAACTCCACACATCAGGGCCCCTTCTTCCAGGCCCTTAAGGCCTGGAATTCGACACCCCTGGTGTAGGCGCAATGTTTGGGCCATTCACAATGACGACTTATTGCTTAAAAAGGAGGATATGGGTGATGCTTCTAACGCTACGTCTTCTATAGAGCCAGCTGGAAAATGAAAGCAAAGTGCATTTTAAAACAGCTTTTGGAGCTAATGTTAGTTTAATTAGCTGTCTAGCTACAAAACTACAGCTGTAAAACTGATGAGAGCCAGCAATCAAAGAAAAACAATCTCAAAGCAGAAGAAATACCAGGAATTATTATTATTATTAGATAATGAATCTGCCACTACTACATTAGTACTGCATGCATATTGGGACTGGATTTTTATGAATATGTTTACTAGTTACTTACTTCAGTTTCTTACATATTAGACATAGGTTTGTCTTTTCCTTGCTGTATGTGAAAAAGATGTCACCAGATAAAAGGGATTCCAGTTTTAGCTTCTCTCAACTTTCTCTTTCTCTAAACCTTTGATCAGTCTGTTTTATCTCCTACTCCCAAAGTTCACAGTTAATTTTTCCATTGCTTAATCACAATGTTCCAAACATGTGCAAATATGATTTCTGTTGTCAAAGCAAACATTAGACTTGAGATTCAAATTCATCTGCAAAGTTTTCACTTCATGTGTGTGTGCACCTGTTTTTCGATTGAAGTTGCAAAGGTGGTGAATGAAAAATGTGAGAAAATCCACTTCTCAGTACAGCCGAGTGACAAAAACAGCAAACAACATGCCATTTCAAATGTGCCTGCGCACACACACACACACGCGCGCACATTGACACACGCAAAGGTAAAATATCATGTACTGACTATTTAACATCCCCCACTTCATAAAAAAAGAGTGTGTTATGCTCAGAGGTGACACAGCTGTTATATCTCAAAACACTCACACACATCCCAGAAACCTGAGACACATGTGCACCTAAGCATTTGAGAGCTGGTCTGTTCTACTTATTCTTGTTTAAATTCTCACAAACATAGTTTTTAGAGCTAATTTCACTCTCCTGCATTCATATCCTAAAGACCCACCCTAAACCAAAGCAAACCTTGATAATTTAGTTCAATTCAGTTTTATTTATATAGGGCCAAATGACGACAGCAGTCACCTCAGTATGACATGCTAAAACAATAGAGAGAAAACCACAAATAATGTGATGACCCCCTGTGAGCAATTGTCCTTTGACTGTGGGAGTAAGCCGAGAGAGATGCAAATTCTACACGCGAAGACTCCAGTATGCCAACAAATTTCACCCCAGACTCTTCTCTACTTTCATGATTAGGCTTTCCTTTTAGATAACACCTATAGTCATGCTTTCATGTCGTTTACACCAAATTCTGACTGAATTAAGCCAAATTCTCAGAAACTGAGACTCATCAAACCAGACAATGTTTTTCCAGTCTCCCTTTTTTTTTCCAATTTCGGTTAGTTTGTGTAAATTGTAGCCTCAATTTTCGGAGCAGGGGCGCCTCCAGAATTTTATCATATGGGGGCCACCAAAAATATTGGGTTGGTACACCAAAACAGAACAGTACAGGGGTCCAGCGTAGGGGAGGGGTGATGATGGCTAATCAAGGGGACATATAAAGTGACACAATACCAATGACAAAAACTGTATATGCAGGAATAAGTAACAAGTTAATTTTTCGAGTTATTGTAGGGTGTCTTTCTCTCTTTTGTGCTCATTTTTATTAAAATTATTACCAACATATGAGTCTTGCCAGGGAGGGCACCTGGGAGACAGCTATTGTTGGGGGGTAGCCAGTCCACACATGGTCAGGACTGGCTTCCAGTGTGACCTTCTGCTGGTTCGACATGTTGTCCATTCAGAGACGCTCTTCTGCATAGTTTAGTTATAATATACAGTTATTTCAGTTATTGTTGCCTTTCTATCAGCTTGAAGCACCATATCTTAAGAAATTGTGTGAATTTTAGCGGTCTGTCTTTAATATACTTTTAAGTATAAAGTGCCTTGAGGTGACTGTTGTAAATTGGAGCTTTGGAAATAACCTTTGGGGATATGCATGCACTGATAAAGGCTTGTCTGTTCTTAGATTATTTATTTTTTCGAGAGGGGTTGTTTTATCATTTAACTGTTTTTTTATACCATGTGAGCTAAATAAACTGTAATCCAGACCTATGATACCTCTAGTCTGTGCTTTTTCATGACTGTTTTTGTCCTCTACCTCTTAGTTTAGTTTATTGCCAATTGCTTTCTTGTATTAACTCAGTGTTTAAAGTTTTGTTTGTTGTGCTTTTAAAAGCTTTTTTTGACCTGCGATTAAGTCTTCTCCACTTTGGACTGAAACCTTTCAACTGCCTTTAATTTGGAAAAAGGTGAGTTAGAGGACCTCCAGCAATTTTAGCAAAATACTATAATAATGATATTATATCACTAAGATTTAATGTAGCATAAGCCTAAGGCCAAAAAGCCCGCAGTCCGCCAAGATGTAAGACAAACTGGTTCATGCACAGATACACTGATTAATCAGCACATCTGTTCACCATTAAGCTCTATTTTCACTTCACATTTGCAATTCGCTTAGATGGTTCGGAGTTTTCAAGGACAGAAATAACACTTTTTTAGGCATTACCATGGAAACTGATAAAGTCTTCAGACTTTAGAATGAACATATTTTTCTGTGACAAGTCATCAGAATCAGAGAGGCAGACAGAAGGCCACACACAGATCTCAATCAGTTTCAAGGATTGTCCAGTTACAACATTACATAACCTTCTATATTTTTTTATCTAAAAGTTCAATTGCATTTCCATTATCTACTTTTATGTTGCATGACTGGAATCTTTCCCTTTGGAGTGGTTTAGTCTTGCATAAGTCAACTATTGTAATAATCTAGCAAAGAAAGCCAGTCACACAAAGTACGCCCCACACAGACACGGGAGGTAAAAAGCAAAACTAACTAAGACAAACACAAAGCCTCAGAACCATCTCTGGCCACAAAGGTCAGAACTCTCTGCCTGGGAGGGATGTGAGGTGGGCAAATGAACTGAATCATTTCTTTAACAGATTTGATTCAGCCATGAGGCAGTCTTCAACATCGGCTGCAGACTCACCCACCCCCACTACTGCTGTCTCACCTCTGACACCTCAGACACTTCACACCTCCTCTACTCATCCTGCTCACTCCTCCCCACCACCAACAACAGCAGGCTGGGAAGAGTCCCACAGCTCTGGAAAACTCAATTTACAAATTACCTTTTACAGTAAACTGCTGCTTCTTATGTGGAAAGTAGTGAGTGTCTTTTCACTCTGTTTTTTCTTTCTCTTTGTGTAAACATTGCCAGAGGGCACATTGCATAAGGTTTTACTGCCTTACTTTCAGTTAATGTATTTTGTTTTGCACTATGCATATTTTATATGCCATTAGGTCATTTATTGTGAAAATTCTCATGTAGGAACTATTGTACTGCATTTTGGTTCCACTGGTGCACCTGAGGGAGATGCACGCCCATGTTGATGTGTGAGCATGGCAAGTTGAAGCAAGAGAAGCCAATTTAATTCAGAGAAAGTTGTTTCTTAAAAGTATCTGTAAAGTGCTCATTTCTGCCTCAAAGCATGGGTCAGCCAGCGAGGTATGTTTGTATGTTATATAGATCATTTTATGTCTTTAATTCACTCGTCTTACTATCTCATTGGATTTTATGTTATGTTTTAGTTCGACGGTGGCGTAGTTTGTGATCAAGGTGAAGCTGTAACAACCCCAAGATCTTACAACTAACATTAAAGCCAACTTCATGCCATCAGTAAAAGAACTCTTTATTGACTTTAAGAAGAGGTAGAAGTGATAGTCGAACTCGGACCTGCATGATTCCCGGCCCCCTGGTGGCAACATCGTGCCAGTGCACCAAGGACCAAGCTGCTGCAAATGTTAATGGACACACAAGTTCACAGTTGCTTCTTCATAAAGATGTCCAGAAGCCAGACATTAAAGTTTATGTTTGGAAAGATGACACAAGGAGGGAGAAACAATAAGGAACTGTGTTAAGCCTGACAACAACAGCATCACAAGTTAGCAAGAAGGGAATTAATGCACCCAAGTTCACAATTCATTACTCAAGTCAAGTTAAAAGGAGATTTTGCATCAACAAATAAGTGCATTACAAGAAAAACAAAATGTCAGACACAAATGAGACAGAAATTGAAGCTCCCAGTGCAGAACAAGCTGCAAGGCAAGTGGATGAAACCTCTTTAGAGCAAACAGTGCAAATAGAGCAACGTAGAAGTGAAAGGTCTCGCATGCTCACAGAAAAAGGAAAAGAATTCCATAATCAAAGGTTACAAGGGTTGCAACGTCGCTTTGACAGTATTTATGACAGATGGAAAGCATTAATCAAGGTGGCAAAAAAATCTGTTATAAAAGGAGATCCACCTGACATTCTTGAAGGTCACATGAACGTTGTACAAAGAGAAGCAGCCGAGCTTAATGATATTTATGATGAATACAGAGCAATGGATGGACCACCTCATGATATGCGTTCCAAGCTAGACAAATGCACATCAGTGACTACAGTAGTTTTGCAAAAGATCAAATGTCACATTAAAGGAGAAACTCAAGAGGAGATTGTATGGCCTGATGCAGGCTCTATATTTACATCCTCTAGCTCTGTTAGTGTCTCAGTTCATAGTCCATTTAAAGCCAATACAGTTCTTTCTAATGGTTCCTCCTCCAAAAGACAAGAAGCTGCAGCAGAGTATGAAGCCACAAAGGCTGTGCTTCAGATAATGACAGAACAAGAGAAGTACAGAGAAAGAATGCAAATGCTTGAAGAAGAAGACAAACGCATATCCGCAGAGCAAGCAGCTGCTGCAATGTCACAACGTCTCCTAGAGGAAAAGGAGGAAACTGAGCGCAAGTTACAAAGAGAAAGGGAGAAAGCGGCCGTGATAAAGAGACAACAAGAGGAAAGTGCTGCAAGGAGGAAGTCAGTTGAGGACTTAAGAAGAGAAATTGAAAGATTGGAAAATCTGAAAGGACTCAAGGCAGCACAGGCAAAACTACAAGTTTATGAGGAAGACTATGTTTCAGTAAAGCAAGAAAGAGTCACTCTAAACCCTGCAAACTTACAGGTAACAGAGTCCAAGAATACTGCTAATCAACCCTTACAACCACGAAGAGAGTTAAATGTCACTTATGAGAGCACAGGTGAGCTTGTAAAGGTTTTGGCAGAAGCTATGTCAGCTAATAGACTGCCTATTCCAGAGCCCTCGGTATTTAGTGGGGATCCACTTAAGTTTAAGCATTGGAAGGCGTCCTTTCAGACTCTAATAGAGAGAAAGAACATTCCCACTGCCGAAAAGATATTTTTTCTACAGAAGTATGTTGGTGGCTGTGTTAAGGAAGCCTTAGATGGCTATTTTCTGATTGGCTCTGAAGACTCATATGAGGCAGCATGGAATATGCTCAATGAACGTTATGGAGAGCCTTTTGTCATTGCTAAGGCCTTTAGAGACAAGTTACACACCTGGCCAAAGGTCACAGGAAAGGATAGTGCAGAGCTAAGAAAGTTTGTGGACTTTTTACAAAGCTGCCAATCTGCAATGACTAATAATGAGAATCTGAACATTCTCAATGATGGCATTGAGAATCAAAGACTTGCTGCTAAACTACCAGATTGGTTAAGTAACAGGTGGAACCGAAAGGCTACAGAGTACCAGCTGGAGCACAAAAGATTCCCACGTTTCAGTTACTTTGTAACATTCCTGTCAATGGAGGCAAGTATCGCATGTAATCCCATTACATCATACCAAGCCATAAGACAAAGTGACTTTGACCAACCAAAGACAAAACCTCAACCTACACCCATTCCTAAGAGACAAGATACAGTGAAAATCTTCACAACTAACTCTACTGAAAGAAGCATGGTCTCTTGTGTGTTTTGTAAAAGAGCAGGACACGGCTTACACAAGTGTCGCAAGTTCACTGAGAAACCTGTCGCTGTGAGAGTCAAATTTATTCAAGGCGAAAAATTATGTTTTGGCTGTTTAAATAGTGGCCATCTCTCCAAGAACTGCAGCAACAAGATGACATGCAACACATGCTCAAAACGGCATCCTACATGCCTGCATGAAGAAAGACAAAGACAAGAGACAAAGAAAGAACCACCTAAAGAGCAACAAGTAAGTGAACTGAAGGAAACCCAGCATCAGGTAACACAGTCACAAGACATAGTCAATGAGACCACATCTAATAGAGTGACTCATGAAAGTAAAAACACACAGACATCTGCAATAGTCCCAGTCTACATATCCACACAAAATGAGCCAAGTAAAGAAGTACTGATCTACGCTCTGCTGGACACACAGAGTGATTCTTCATTTATTCTTAATGAAGTAGCAAATAACTTGGACACAACCAAAACTCAAGTTAAGCTCAATCTATCTACAATGTCATCCAAGAAAACCACTGTACCATGCACAAAACTTGAAGCTCTGCAAATAAGAGGACTGTTTTCCAAGAAGAAACTCACTGTACCAGTTGTTTACACACGAGACTTTATACCCGCTAATCGTAGTCATATTCCTACTCCAGACACTGCAAGGGCATGGTCACATTTGGAGCATCTCACTGAACATATTGCACCCCCTTTGGACTGTGATATAGGACTCCTTTTAGGGTACAACTGCACACAAGCCTTAATGCCCAGAGAGGTCGTATGTGGTGAAGAAAACCAGCCATACGCTCAGAGAACAGATTTGGGTTGGAGCATCATCAGCTACTGTGATTCATGTGATACAGGTAATGATGTAATTGGAGTAAGTCACCGCATCATTGTAAAACAAGTTATACCAGAGACTGAGTCACCCACAAAACTAAAGAATAAGGTTCATTACATCTGCAAGACACAAGTAAAGGAAGTAACATTTCCAGATGTAATCAAAGCACTTGAATCAGACTTTACAGAGAGAGCAGTGGAAGAGACAAGCATTTTGCAAGAAGATGTCCGCTTTATTACAAAGCTACAAGAAGGAATAAAGCAAAAGCTAGATGGACACTATGAAATGCCACTGCCTTTCAAGGGTGACAGGCCAGATCTTCCCAATAACATGCCAAGTGCAATGCAACGTTTAAGTAGTCTCGAACGCAGATTCAAAACGGACCAAAGGTACTACACAGACTATGCAAATTTTATGGCGAACATGATAGCATGTGGTGACGCAGAGAAAGTGCCAGAGAAAGAACTCTGTAATACACCTGCTTGGTATATCCCCCACCATGGGGTATACCACCCTCAGAAGCCTGGCAAGATACGTGTAGTCTTTGACTGCTCTGCACAATATCAAGACACTTCGCTGAACATGCACCTGCTTACAGGGCCTGACCTCACAAACACTTTGGTGGGAGTGCTCTGTAGGTTCAGGAAGGGCTCCGTTGCTGTAATGTGTGACGTGGAACGCATGTTTCACCAGTTCCATGTAACACCTCAAGACCAGGACTACTTACGCTTCCTATGGTGGGAGCATGGTGACCTAAGCGCTCCACCCTCAGTCTTTCGAATGAAGGTTCATCTCTTTGGCGCTGCTTCTTCTCCTGGCTGTGCCAACTTTGGGTTAAAACATCTAGCCACGCAAGGTGAGGGAAAGTTCACTCCAAACACTGTAAGGTTCATTCAAGGGAACTTTTATGTAGATGATGGACTTGTTAGTGTTATGTCAGAGTCAGAAGCCATAAAACTAGTCCAAGAGGCAAGAGAACTGTGTAGCACAGGTAAACTAAGATTACACAAGTTCATATCAAACAGTGAAAATGTGATAAAGTCATTGCCGAGAGAAGAGTGTGCCGAAAGTATTAAGGATTTAGATTTGGCACTTGGAGAGCCATTAATGGAAAGGGCTCTTGGCGTTCAGTGGTGCGTTTCTGCTGATGAATTTCAGTTCAGAATAACTGTAAAAGAGCACCCAATGACAAGAAGAGGAATTCTGCGCACAATAGCATCAGTGTATGACCCACTGGGATTTGTGGCACCGTTCATCCTAAGAGGAAAGCAAATCCTGCAACAGCTATGTCAAGAGAAAGTTGGATGGGACGAGCCACTCTCAAATGATCTCAGCACACAGTGGGAATCCTGGCTCCTAGATCTTCAAAACCTGTCAAAGGTGAAAGTTCAAAGACATGTCTTACCTGCAAACACAGACATTGCACAGTGTGAATTACACCATTTTTCAGACGCTAGTGTGACAGGCTACGGAGAGTGTAGTTATTTAAGAACAGTAACATCAAAAGGTGATGTTCATTGTGCCCTAGTCCTGGGAAAGGCACGTGTAGCCCCAACCAAGGTCACTACTGTCCCTAGACTTGAATTAACGGCTGCAGTAGTTGCAGCAAGAACAAGTGCAATGTTAAGAAATGAACTGGAGATAAGTGATCTTGAAGAACACTTCTGGACAGATTCCAAGGTAGTGTTGGGATACGTGAATAATGATGCAAAGAGATTTCACGTGTTTGTGGCAAATAGGATTCAAAGGATACGGTCACTCACAGACCCACGACAGTGGCATCATGTACCATCTGAAAGTAATCCAGCAGACCATGCATCAAGAGGACTCAGTGTCCAACAGCTACTCAACTCTAACTGGTTTAAGGGTCCAGAGTTTTTGTGGCAAAGCGAGCTACCTGTTGAAAATGGCAAGTTTACGGAAGTCAAGCCCAATGATCCAGAGCTAAAAACAATACATGTGTTCAACACCAAAGTAGAAGAAAGGAGAACAATACTAGACCGTCTCACCAAATTCTCAGACTGGAGAA